GCTTGCCACGGACGTAGCTCAAAGTACAACAAAATAAACTTATACAATTTATATTTATACACTTTTACAATATTTAACAAAGTTAGTGCGAAAAGAGGGTGGTGTTAAGCAATTCATGAATTAATTATCAGACTTTATTTTTCTTGAAGCAATAAATCCGTCGTTTAACAATCTTAAGCCCAATAAAATAAAAAAAAACGAACAGTCAGTCGTTCGATAAATGTTTTTATTCCCGTCGCACTATTTATGGCTACTTGATATTAGCCTTATATGCTCGTTCCCCGAGATATATCTGTTACGACTACATAAAATCCTACCATTTATCACTTTATCTAAAACTCGAAATGCGGCTTGTATATATCGCAATATCCACCGTATGCGATTACTTCTCGTTCCTTTAATGGTATAATATTTTTTCATACACTTTTCCTCCCGAGAATTGGATGTTAAATTGTTGTTTGTGCATTCTCTATAACGATTTTATATGAGGACGCGTGTTGCTATTTTATCCGTGTACATATTAATGGATCGAAGTTGCGTGTGTATCTACATGTCGAACATGGTGACTTCGAAATTTGCGATATAATGGAATACATTTTTATATAATTGATAGGGAACTATTTTTACACTATGTTTTAGATGTTAGTTTTGATGAGGAGGTGGTTCGTAGCACTATGGTAAGCGCTTGGCTTCGCATTTACGAAGTCCAAGTTCAAAAGCGCGTTTCGTACAACCCTGGTATCAAGGTGTAGTGATATGCATTTACATGTAAATGGATTACATTAGCTTAAATTTAATGTTTCCTAGTAGAATCAGTATTAGAATTTTTTAATATAAACTACAACTAAGGAAGTGTATTATTAATAAGCTGACAATATAGTCCCGGATATCAACTTTAGTGCCCCGCGTCATTGTAAGAACAATAATTGTCCCGGATTTGGAACTATTGTCCCGGATTTTCAAAAAGTCTAAGTTTAAATTGAATCTTTGCAATCACTTAATAATAAAATTACAATTATCGTTATCATTCGATTATTATTACAATAACCGAATAATAAAGTTATTAATAAAAGACAGTAATTTTAATTTAAAAAATAAAAATGAAGAAAGTAACTTTTATTGCATCCTTAAATAGTATTTGAACCCATAGAAATGTAAAAAATTGTACTTATTAAAATTTTCAAAAAATATCTCGTAATTTGATGTGTTTATGTCCAATTACCATTTTTAACCGCC